GGAGGGGCGCAAGCTTTACACCACCGCGCCTTTGGGTGACCGCTGTGCTTGAGTGTAGCTTTGCCCCTCCCCCACAAACACCCACAGGCCACAACCACACACAGAATGCGATTGTGCATATGGAAAGACAGCTGGCGGAGAACATCACAGGAGGAGAGGAACAATGAACTTCATCCTCACCCCATTATGAAAGCAATATGTTTGCAATCTTGCTGATGACGGACAGCACTGGCCTGGCGGAACGCGTGCACGACTGCTCGTGGCTCCAGTTCTGGGCATGTGCCACTACAAGCAGCTGTTGACATGAGACGGGTGCAGATATCATGCCATGGAACTAGTGCCTGGTGATGGCCGCTGCCAGAAGTATCCTTGCAAGATAAAGTAACGGATCTTACGTTGCACTCACAAGTCACAGGCCCAGTCCAAACCCTCAGATGGTGCTGAACTGAAGTCGAATGGCATTGCCTAAAGCTGAGAATTAGGAAGTTACCAAGTCTAAACGACTCAGCCAACTCCGAGGCAGAACCGTTTACTGACTCTTGGCATTGCCTGGGGGCCGACACAGTGGGTGGGCCACGGACCTTATGGTGGGGGACCTGATTCTCCTCCTCTTCAGCCTTTGCACGCACACTCCTCTATATGATGCGTCCTGGTGCCACCATACGGCCCATGCAGGATGAAAATCTTCTGCTACATTATAGGTTCTTCAGATTCAGACGCTAATTACCTGAGATCACAAGTGATCTGTGCCAGGAGCTGTGAAAGTTCTTCGTCACATACCTATCAGCCGTGCACGTATCAGCGCATGGCTAGTCCCCCGTGTCGAATAATTGATATGAACTCGTAAATGATCGGATTGTATCGGAAACTCTTACATGAACGGTGTGTATCTGTCCCCACTGAAGAAATGAAATTGTACATGGTTGGTGGGCATGGATAGAATCGACTCTTTGGAGTTTCTGTTTTTGGATCAGAAGTTGAACTTTTTGGTATAGAACACCCATTCCTAGGTATTTATCCTACCCTGTCTAAAGGTGTATTACATCGTAGCCGTGAGCGAACGGGACGGCGTTTCTTGTGGAAGTATACGGTCGAAATGGTTTGATCGTTTTTGAATTACATGGTTTGAAATACATTCGGAGCCATGATCTGTCAGATGTATCCTGAGCTAATTTGCACAAACTTGAATTGTATAATGGACACAAAGAGCCTGTCATGAACTGAGAATTGGCAACTGAAACTTCACATTTTACACTGTAAAAAATATTGACGAGCTATGTGTCAAAACAAGGGTCTCGAAACAGTCACCAGGTTGTCAATGCTTCCGGTACCTACCACTTGACTAGTTACCGCTTAGTTAGCTTACAGGCTGAGAACTATCCAGATCGTTATGATCCGGTATTGTTATGATACCCTAGGTGTACCTTTGTTTTGAAGTGCTGAATTAACTATCAAGGTTGTTTGACGTTTGTTTTCGCCTCAATCCGAAACGAGGAAGACCCTCATCAAATTATTAGGTGAAAGCCAGCCTCAGGATGATCAAAATACGAGGGGTAGTTTTGTCATAGTAATCTGTGAAGGGTGAGGAACAAGCCGTAGCAAGGCACTCGTCACTAAACCAGCCTGAGATTATTCGCCATGTAGCTGCTGCGTTTCCCTACTTGCTGAATCATGTTTGCAACTTTCCATTTCCAGACACTTTTTACGGCAAATAAATTGTTGGGTTATTTGGAAGGTGAATGACAATTTTATTTCTATAAGTCAATGCATTTGTATTTCCGATTGCCCTAAAACTTTTTTTTTAATCGTTTGCGGTAGGTTTTTATTGTTCGCAATAAAGTTGCGCACCTGTGAATCCTTCACTTAATGCGTTCCCGGCTTCCCGGCGCCAGTTGCGCTGTGCCGTGCCGCGTTCGGTCGGGGGTGCGCGCGTCTGTGAAGTGCGAGTGTTTATCACTGGGCAAACCTGTATCGTTTCCATTTGTGCAGTGTCTAGTTATGAAGAATTGCTTGCCGATATATGACCTGCAGTGATCGACGTTCTGATTCAATAACTTGCCATAAGCCATTATTCTCAACCAAATCGCGCAGAGACGTTTGCAAAGTTGTCGAGGGGGGGGGGGGAACAAGAGCGATTTTAAATGAATTGCTCTCCATGCAGTGCAATAGGATTTAGGTTTAATTTTTCGAAAGTTGTGGAGCCGCCCCCGGTGTCCGGCCTGGCCAACTCTCTCAAGAACCGACAGCTAACGGAACACTGAAGTTTCACTACGACGATTTCCGCCAAAGTTATGAAGAAAAGGCAAGTGCAAGAAGTACAAAACTTCTCTTGGTAATCAAAACTTAGGTTTGGCAAATTCCAAACCCTAAGTCACTACAACTGTGGATATAAATAAGCTGGTTATTGACGGCCAAGCTCTGGCCAATCTGAAGTTCAGACCTATCATCAAGTTCATGAGGCAGCTGCGGTTGGGCGGCTCACGGGCTCCACTGCATAGGCTCAGACAGGTACTCTACAAAATGTCTTCTGTGTTCTTAGGTTCAGATCTATCGATAGGTATGTGCATGCTTCTGATTCGATTGATAACTGTAAACGGGCGCTGGAAGTGAAAGGTTCGCTTGATATACGAAAGGTGCATTGCAAGAAAGCACGTTATTTCAGAAATACACTTTCATTTTATCTTGAGCGTTTTTGGAATGGGCCGGATGAATTCGTCATCAAACTGGTAAGGGATTTCGTTTGAAGACCACCGATATTCAATAATATGATGGTCTTCAAACGAATTCGCTGGCAAATTCGATGACTGGATTGGGCGGCGTAGGATCTGCTGGTCATCTGACTATGGGTTGATTAGGGCCTAGTTGGGCCCCTAGTTTTGACCTAGTTTGAGCTTCATTCGTTAAGTAGGAACAAGACGATGCTTCTTTTGAACATCGTCACTAAACAAGCCGCCCTCGTTTTGACATTGTTTTTCGTTATTATTGTTACTAGGTACTTTGTTATCATACACAGCATTAACGAGGACCTGCTTCCAAAACAAGGCAGAAACGCTCCAGCTATTTTTGGGACGTGGTAAAAACTAACCGACACCTGGTAACTGTCATCTGATGAACACAAAACAAGCCAGGGGCTCGCAGCGTGTGTCAAAAGTAGGATGCAAAACTAGTCTGTACCCCCGACATTTAGCGTTGAGAATCATTTGACGAGGGGCTAGTCAATATTTTTACAGTGTAGTTTGACCTCAAAGATCATCAAAGGTCACTAATGCAACACAAAAAGAAAATATCAAAAATGATTGCACGCTGACCAGAATGATGCCAGCAACAGGAGCAAAACATCCCGGCGCTTTTCACCAAATGTTACAATATCGACATTGTAATGATCGCTAGTAAAGCATTAAACCGTAACCACGTGATGGAGCACATCGATCTGGATGAAAAGGGAGCGTTCAATGACCCCTCTACCCGACTCTCGAAACAAAAAGTTTGCCTTCGTTGCGATTTACTATCAGCGTAAAATAAGCATATTTCTAGGTAAATACGCAAATTTCAATCTCAATTCGCGACCCCTAAACCACCTTTGATTTCAATATTTTTGGCACCATTTGAATCAGGAGCCGCGAAATAATGGGAAAAACCACCCCCACCCACAAATTTCCAAAATCGGGAAAAATGGGTACCCCTACTGCGCGTGCTAACATACGTTTTCATATGTGCCATTTTCTTTAAAACTTATGAATGGCCCACTCTAATTTTTTCACAGGTTGTTAAGAATATGGTAGGCAATAAAATATATGAAAATGAGCCAAATCGAAGGTGGCGTGTTTTTTGCTACTTCAATTTTTGTGCTTAAGAACAGAGTTAAGCAAATTTCAAGGTCATATATTTAAGTCGATGCAATTCTAAACAAATGCTTAAGAAATTACCTAAACAGTAAGGTTTATTTCATTCAAATCAAACAAGTACAACCAAAGTTATGGTCGTTCAAAAATATAAAGATGCAACATTTTGTAAAAATTTGATGCCCTATATTTAGAAGACCTGTGGTCAGAATGTGCAAAAAACATCAATGTAATGTCCGGGGCGACACAGGAACTCGCTCACAAATTTATAATGAAATCGCTGATGGTAAGGTGCAAAACAGCCGATTTTTGTTCGATTTGACGTGGAATGCCCCAATTGCGCACCACACAGGTGACCGCCGTCAGTGTGGTGACTGGTGCGCAGCACACCGTCCCACGGAAGATCGTCTTTGGGCCGTGGTGCAGATTTTCTCTAAGCAGAGTCAACAGTGCAGTGGCAGAAGTTGAACATTCAGCTGCTAGGCTCCTTTTCGGGTCAGGAATGCCGTCGAGTTGGCCATCAGGTGGTGTTGCAGAATCATCAGGTACTCTTGATCAGGTACATCAGGTACAGAACCTCTTGACTCATCAGGTAACGCTGTGACTTGTCTGCCAGGCACAGAGGGCGGACATGTCAGAACATACTTCAAATACATTTTTACAAATCATTTTTTAACCAAAAGCTCTGCAAATTAGGAAGCCTGGAATAGGTTATTGCTTAGCATAATAAAAACTACCCAAATACCCAAATCAGGTAAGGTTTGGTTGTTGATTTATTTAAGGGTAGGTTTTTACACTTCAGGCTAAAATGAGAATTATCTTAACATCATTATCCTTGATGTATCATTGTTGATGCTTTTTGTCTTGCACAACTGGCAATCAGTATTCAGTGACACAGCATTGGAATTTGTGGTTCAGAAACCTAGCATTATTTCACACCTAGCAATTTAGGGCAGTGCTCATTCTTTTTGAAAGCAAGTGAATTTTTTTTTTAATATCTATATTACTATTTGTGGTGACGTAGTTTCTGTCTATTACGAAGGTCGCGACATGGTGCTACGTAGCGCGGGTTACAGGTCACACCGTTGCACCTACCGCGCTGAAGTTTGCGCAACTCATAGAACAAGGATGGACAACGTGCCTGTAGAGTCTTCATGCAGCGTACTTCTGTATTCAGCGGCGATGGCGACAGTGTCACAGTCACAGCCCGACTCCCCGTCCGGCCGAGCCCACCCCAGCGTCTGGCACGGTCGGTCACGTGACCGGCCGGTCACGTGACCGGTCGCGGCCAATCGGGCCGCGCCCTCGACGGGTCAGCTAGGGTTACATGCACCACATCACCTCCCTTCCAAAAAAAACACGCTTATAACCTCACTGTACACCTCACGGAACGCGACAAAACCAGACACTCTGGAAAAAGTCAGGAGAATTCCGCACACGACCGGATCTCCGAGGCGACGGCGCCGATGTTTGCGCACCCGGAACGTCCGGTCCGCCACTAGTCTCCGACGGCCCCCGGCGCGCACCGGCGGGCGCCGCCCGCTCAGGGGAACGCACCACAGTTTTTGGATTCGACGACTGCGACTGCGAACCCGTGGCAGCACTCGGGACTGGCGGCGGCCGCAGCTCCTCAACCGGCGGCCCAGCAGTCGAACGACGCGTGGCCATGTCTTTCTCGGCGGCGGCCAGCGCGGCGCCTTGAGAGACGGTCCCAGCAGTCGGTCGAGGGACGCCGCCACGGGAGATCTCGACATCAGTGGGCAGCGTCGTTACAGCCGGTGTGGTAGTGCATGCCGCACCAGCCGGTTGACCTGCCGAAGGAACAGAGCTCAGAAGCTGGTCCGCATGTCTGCGCCACGTCCTGCCGTCATCAAGGCGAACAACGAAGGACACTGGTCCGTCAGCACCAACGATTGTACCAGGTAGCCAAACGCTTCCAGAGCCATAGTTCCGTGCGAGCACGCGGTCGGTTACAGAGAAGAGTCTATGCCTCGCCGAACGATCATGATGGCTCTTCTGAGCGAACTGAGCCTCGGCCACTGACCTGTTCAAATCGGGATACATACGATCGAGTCGTGTCTTCAGCTTGCGTCCCAGCATCAGCTCGGCAGGCGTTACAGTCGTTGTAGAGTGAGGCGTCGTTCTCTGCCGCAGGAGCCACTTGGACAACGCCAGCTCCCAGCCGTCTCCTGCGTCTCTCTGCAACACGAGTTTCACTTCCTTAACCACGCGCTCGGCCAACCCATTGCCCTGGCTATGTCGGGGCTCGATCGTGCGGTGGCAGACCCGGTTGCCGGCCAAGAAGCGCTGAAACTCATCAGACGTAAAGGTGGTAGCATTGTCGGAGACTAACATATCTGGCAGTCCCCACCTTGCAAACACACGGCGGAGACAAGCGATAACGGGAGCAGAGGCGGTGGACGGCAGAACCTCCGCCTCCACCCACTTGGAATGGGCGTCGACCATGCAGAACACATACTTGCCGCGTACCGGTTCGGCGAAGTCGCAGTGGATCCGGGACCACGGTCTAGATGGCCAGGCCCATGGATGCAGCTCGGCGTGCGGCGGCTTGGGTCGACTCTGCTGGCAAGGCGAACAGTTTTGCACAACCCGCTCGATCTGCGCGTCGATACCAGGCCACCATACAATCGATCTGGCTAGCGACTTCATACGCCGCATCCCGGGGTGACTCACGTGGAGTTCACGCAGAACAGTCTCCCTACTTGACTGGGGTACCACCACCCTGTGACCCCACAGAAGCACTCCCGCTGTCTGAGTAAGCTCGTCCCTCCTTCTGATAAACGGTTTGAAGTCATCTGGTGCCTCGGACGGCCAGTCTGCGAACTGCACCCACCTCAGGACTTTGGACAGCACCGGATCTCGACTGGTCTGCAGCGCGATCGCCTTGGAATCCAGCCAGTCTGCACCTGCGAGGAGAACCAGCTCTTCAGCATCATGAGGCACATCATCAACCAGCAGCACCAGCTCTTCCATCTGTGCGCCGACTTCTGTGGGAACAGGTAAGCGACTCAGTGCATCTGCGTTACCCATCTGGCCTGTAGGGCGGAACCGTATGGTGTAGTTGTAACACGACAGTTTAAGCGCCCACCTGCGAATCCGCGCGGCAGTCATCTCTGGCAGTCCTTCATGTTCACCGAACATTTTCACTAAGGGCTTGTGGTCAGTAACCAGAGCGAACGGTCGAGGTACGCCACACAAATAATTGTGGAACTTTGTGACTCTAAAGATTATGGCCAGTCCTTCGCGCTCTATCTGGGCGTATCTAGACTCAGATAGTGACAGCCGTCGAGATGCGAAAGCGATGGGCATCTCTCTCCCTGCGTCATCGATCTGAGACAGCACAGCGCCCACACCAACGCTAGAAGCGTCACAAGTCAAAACGAGCTGCTTGGTGTTGTCATAGTGGACAAGCAGCGTATTTGCTGCCAACTTTTCTTTGACCTTGTTGAAGCTGTCTCTCTCCTTTGAGCCCCAGCGCCACACAGCATTCTTCCCTAGGAGGTCATAGAGGGGTGCCGAACTAGAAGCTCTGTCAGGAACAAATCGCGAGTAATAAGATATGAGACCCAGGAAGGTCTTCAGCTCCGATACTGTCTTGGGCTCGGGGACAGCCAAGATAGCCTTTACCTTGGAGGCGTTCGTGCGGACTCCGCTTGCGCTGATGAGGTGTCCCAGGTAGTCGACCTGACTCTGGAAGAGCAGACACTTCTCCTCCCTGACACGGAGACCGGCGTCTTGAAGACGTTGACAAACGACGTCGAGCAGCTTCCAGTGCTGCTCCCGGGTCTCACTGCTGAGCAGAACATCATCGAGGAAGACGACGACTCCAGGGATGCCCGCCAACAGCTTCTCCATCTCGCGCTGGAAGACGCCACTGGCCACGTTCACGCCGAACGGTATCCTGGAATATCTGAGAAGCCCACGAGACGTGTTGATGGTGAGTATCTCGCGTGACTCTTCATGGACGACCAACTGATTGTATGCCTGCGCTAGGTCGAGTTTGGAAAATATATTTTTCCCACTCAAGGAAGACAGCATGTCCTCCGTCTTGGGCAGAGGGTAACGGTCCATGCGCACAGCAGTGTTAGCGGTTAGCTTGAAATTTGCGCAGACTCTGATCTTGCCATCAGGCCGAATCACAGGTACAATAGGGGCTGCCCAGCGACTGTCTTTCACTGGTACTAAAACCCCACTAGCGATATCAGCATCTAACTGCTCCTCTACCTTTGCCTTGTATGCATACGGAATCGAACGGGCCTTGCAGAACTTGGGCCTCACAGATTGGTCAATATCAAGGTGAACACGCACCCCCTTAAGCTCACCCAACCGTGGAAGGAACAGATCGGGGTACTTGCGTTTGATCATGTCCGTGGCCGGCTGTGACGTTGGAGAGCGTAGAGCGTGTACTTCAGACCAGTTGATCCTCATCAGGTGCAGCCAGTTGCGGCCCATAAGGCTCGGACCAGAGCCCTTGACCACGATCACGGGAAGATCCCTGTGCACAGAACCGTTGTACGATACATCAGTGGTGAACTGACCCAACACAGGAATGACATCACCTGAGTACGCCTTCAAGGTAGTAGAGCACGGTGTCAACTTGGGTCGACTGTTCAACCTGAGGGAAGTATGCTCGTCAATGATGGTGACCCCCGCGCCCGTATCCAACTCCATATCCACCCGCTGACCATGCATCTCGACGGGACACCAGATGGGCGGCACACTCACCCCAGTGCGTCTTACCATGTAGACGGGGTCAGAGCTGGAGAGATTATCCAGCTGCAGCGTTTCCGGTGACGCGGCAGGATCATCTTCAGCCAGTCGGTTGGTGCGCTCGTCTCTGCCTCGCGTACAGCAGCGCGACAGATGACCGATGGCACCGCAGGAATGGCACCGGTAGTCCTTGAAGCGGCACGTACCGCCGTGTCTGGAACCGCACCGCCAGCACGGCCGGCCGCCGTCCCGCGGCGCCGCAGCACGCTGTCCGCCGCTGCCCCGCGGCGCTGCGGCGCGCTGCCCGCTGTCTGGGCCGAAGGCGCGCCGCCCGCCATTGGGCGGTGCCCGTCCGCCAGAGCTCGCGCCGGCACGGCCCGACCCGAACGGCGGCGGGCCCTCGGGCGGTCCGCGGGTGACCCTGAAAGCAGCAGCTCCGTCCGTGTGGATCAGCTGCGACTCACGTCTGACCGTCTCAGACGCCCTGGCATGCTGCAAAGCGATATCCAACGTCAGGTTATCCTTGCACAACAGCTCATTCTGGCACTTGTTGTCGCTCATCCCACACACGACTTGATCACGTAAAGCAGTCTGCAAGTACGGGCCGAAATTACAATTGACCGCGATCTTCTTGAGCTCAGCAACAAAATCCATGACACTCTCCCCTGGTGCCTGAGTACGTTTGAAAAACTTGTAACGTTCAGCGATCTCGATGTTTGACGGTTTGTAATGTGCACTCAAAAGATCTACGAGCTCATCATATGTACAGTCTTCTACGGTTCTTGGGATGATCAAATCCTTCAGTTTACTGTACGCTACAGTACCAATGCACGTTAAAAACACAGACTTCTTTTTATCTCCCAATATCTTATTGCTGACACAAAAATGGTCAAACAGTTCCCGGTAAGTGTCAAACCGGTCGATCGATGGATCGAATGTACTTATCGAACCGATGACCATGTTGCTGAGTTCAGTCCTCTCCCGTTTCCTTGCTTCGTGACTTCGTGCTGAAAGATCCTCGTCGCCAGTGTAGAGTCTTCATGCAGCGTACTTCTGTATTCAGCGGCGATGGCGACAGTGTCACAGTCACAGCCCGACTCCCCGTCCGGCCGAGCCCACCCCAGCGTCTGGCACGGTCGGTCACGTGACCGGCCGGTCACGTGACCGGTCGCGGCCAATCGGGCCGCGCCCTCGACGGGTCAGCTAGGGTTACATGCACCACATCAGTTGTGTCGCGAATCAATCGCAAATCGCAAATCAATGTGTCGTTGAATTGTCAGCTGGATCGCGAGGGGGAGGGACGCGTGTCTCGAGCCGCGGCGGCCGCAGACACTTGAACAGGGCCCTGGTCTACATTCAGCATCGCAGCCATGAGCCTCTCCTCGGACGCCCTGTACCGCCTGCAGCGGGCACGCTTCAGCTGGGCCAGCGCGGCGGCCGGCTGGGCTGAGCAGCGCGCCGTCGGCTCGTCCGCAGTATCCCGAGTGTGCTCGACTCGCGGCGCCGCCCTGGAGCGCGTCGAGCGCCCGTGGGAGACGGAGGGAGCTCCCGATGACGACGGTTACCCCACGTCTCTAGCCGAGCCGTGCCGTCGGCTGGCGGCCGCCGCCGACAGCCTGCACGAGCAGCTGGAGCGGCTACAGGCCGCCACTGACACCCTGACCGCCCTCGGGCGACTGGAGGAGGCGAGGGCCGGTCGGGGCGACTCCACCGCCGGCGCCGCCCCCGCCGTCACCACCTGGGACGCGTCCCGCTGTGCGGCGGCCGCCTCCCGTCTTCTACCGCTCTACACCAAGGAAACGGAGGTGAAACGAACTGTCGCCTCGTGGCTGGCGCACGCCGACTCTGCGGCCGCGCTGACGGCGCTGCGGGCCGCCTGGATGCACCACAGTGCCTTTGATGGGTCTCAGCTCGATCGGATCGATAGCGAGCGCGTGGCGCGTGCCCAAAAAGTGCAAATTCGCGTCATAGACTTTACATCATTAATCGGCTGGCAAAAACGGGCGAAAACAGCCAAATTTGCCCGACACGGGTCCGGTCCCGGTGCAATATCTCGGTAACCGTGGGCCCGACCGGTACGGAGAAAACAGCATCGTGTAGAGAATCGAACGGGCTATCGAATGGTGTGCGGTGCAGGGGTTGGCACGCGCCACGTGCACCGGGGAGGACACTTTCTTTTGAAAAATGGACGTTTTGGACGGATTTGGGATTTTATTTTATTTTCACGTGACCGTCAGACTGAGAGATTTAAAACAATGCCTAATGGCAAGGGAAATGTACCGCCTCTCATGGAAAAATTGTGAAAAGCCAATTGATCAAAAACAATGCGGAAAAAATCGCTGGAGAAAATGGTATTTGTCCATAATATGCCACTAAATAATAACACGGGATTTGCTGCTTAACCTGATACGTTAGACAATTGAAAATGCTATGATTAGAAAGAGCATTCAATTCTCTCCAAGATCCAACCATCACGTTTGCATGATAAGCAACGGTATTCTTAAAGGGACTATCCCACCTTCTAAAATGTTGTTAAAACCAGTTAAATTGTGCCCGACTTTATAGACTGGAGGACCAGGAACACGGTTCTGGCATTTATTTTTCATTAAACATCTTAGGCTTCCCATATTCCAAGCACAAACTTTCAAATATGTGACGTCACAGCCCAAAATTACCTCCTTCCCCAGGCCACATTACTGTCATAAAGCTGATTCTTTTTACTCTGTAGGCACCACAACAAAGTTCAGACCAAGTTTTAAGCGATTTTTCAACGAACAAACTCATTTAAATCAGAATGACTAAACGAGGTGACGTCACACTAACGGTCGCTCCATGTTGAAGATAGGGCCTTGTACAAGGCCCATTTTCAAATGAAGGGAACGAATTTCTTCAACACCAAGAGGCCGCGGGGTTGCAACCTAGATAGATAGTGGTTTCTGAACCTCGCCGCAAACTTGGCTATCTCAACTCAAACCCCATGTTAAAGGTGGGATAGTCCCTTTAAAAATATAAATGTTTCAAACCTCTGCAAATCCATTTTTAGCGAAAATTATCTACGCCTTTCATTTGTCATTAAACTACGCACCTGAATTATAAAACACATTTGACAGGTTCACTGAACTATTGACAGGTTCTGAAGTAGAAGGCATGCTTATCAGACACGGGCACCTCGATGTGATGGATATTTTTTTTTCCAAACCAAAACGTTTAGCCATCAAAAAGCAATCGACCGAAATGGATAGATAACCCAACCGACACAAGAACAACCAAACACCCGCCGATCGTAAATGCCCCCTTTTCGCGTTGCGGAGCACGCGGGCCACCCTAGTAATTTTCTAGGTAATTCATTTCCTACTGAATATGGTTTGGAGCAGGGCCTATTTTAACATGTTAACTGGGGTGGCAAAACCCACCCCAGTGGTGCGGTTTTCCACCCCAGTCGTCTTACTTTGCCACCCCAGTGAAAAACAGCCCGAAAGTCCGCCCACATATATTGGCTGCCGACAATCACGGATGCGACACATTCTTGGGGCGCAACTCAGCTTGACAGGGGGAAAAGGGCTCACTGAGGCGCCACCACCACCAATGGGGGTGCCCTCTCACTACTGGGGGTGCCCTGCCGCAAGCGCAACTGTGGCGCCCTACTTCGATTGGGACACACTACCGGCAATGGGGCGCCCTACCAGCACTTGGGCGCCTACCACGACTGAAGTGTCCTATCAACATTGGGGCGCCCAGACACGATTGGGGCGCCAACCACCTTTGGGCGCCCTATCAGAAATGGGACGCCGTACCACTACTGCGGCGTCGTAACACTACTGTGACGTTCCGCTGGTGCTGGGGCGCCCTAAGTTTCTGGTGCACCCTACCGCCACGAGGCGCCCTACCACCACTGGGGCGCCCACCACTACTTGGGCGCCCTACCACTACTCCGGCGCCCTGCTACAACCGGGGCGCCCTACCATCACTGGGCGCCCTGACACAGCTGGGGCGCCCTATCACAACGGGTGCACCTTACCACAACTGAGGTGCCGTACCACTACTGGGGCGCATTTACTCTAGCAGTAAGTCAAGTAACTAACTCGCCCTTACTGCCACTACTGGGGCGCTATGCCACAACTGAGACGCCTTACAACCAGTGGATCGCCCACCGCTGTTTGGGCTCAATGCCGCTACTGGGGCTTCATTACACTACTGAGGGGTGCCCCGTCACGCCTGGGGCGCCCTACCGAGACTGGAGCGCCCTGTCACTACTGGGGCGCCCCTCAGGGACGCCATACCGCTACTGGATTGTCCTACTATTCAGGCGCCTTACCACAACTGAGAAGATATCTCGGTTGAGGTATCAATGGCGCATCGATGACAAATAGCAATATACAAATTACAACACTGGTCAGTGGTCACCAATGCATCTTTCTTGGCATTACAGAGCCATAAGCTCTTCAAAATCTGGAGAGCGTCTCGAGGCAGTGGCGTGGCGAGATATTGGCCGCAAAATTGAATTGTGATGTGGCTTTGAGACTGGCCGCGTGATCAACAGCGAAATTTCAAACGCACGTGCACGCATTGCTTCTGACGATGGTATTTCCAAGATAAAAATCTGGCGGGCGGCGGTTTGATCCTCGCCCGTATTGGTGTTTTTCCAGCCGCGGACGTATAGGGGAAGGGGGGGGGGGGGGCCGTTAGACCCCCCACCTTGCCGTTTTGCCCCTGATTGAGCTAGAGCTTCGCGGAAAAAACGAGCGTGTTGCCCGTGACGAGAGAAAGCCGATGATATCCAATTTTAAGGTCCTAGGTCATCGGTTGACCTTCCAGGTCAGATCAATGATCCAAAAGTCGAGAAAATCGGGAACTGTTAGAACGTCGTAAAGGGTGGCTCCTATGGGTTTTTTCGGGGTGCTGATGACGAATATCATGTTAGTTATGATCATAGATGATTCTTCATGCATTTAGGCCAGGTCGGGTCAGGTCAGGTCAGGTCAACCGGTAAGGGTTTTGCCGGGTATTCGTAGTAAGTGGCAACCGCCTCTGACAGCTTCGTAACATGTAGTGAAGGCACCAAAACTACATCGTTAATGTTCAAATGATTGCTAAATTCGAATTCAGCTCCAAAAACTAGCCTAGAAACAAGTAAAACTCCAAAAAGTGAACTGAGGACATCAAAGATCAATGACCTGACCTGACCTACCAGTGACCTTGACACCCACCCTAATGCTGGCATGGGAGCAACATCATATCACATGCTTGAACGCTTGAAACCACGAAAAGACTGCAAACGCGCGCCTAATGCGAGCCGACACGCCGAATCGCGATTCCGACCAAACATGGTCTTGAAAAGTAGGTCACTGGTCAAAGGTCATTAGGGTCAGGGTCATAAAATTTTCAGGGTAGGTGTAAAATTGATTATCGTGAGGGTACCAAAAGTTTCGTCGCGATCGGTCGCTTTTTACGCGAGTTATTCGCGAAAAACCGAGAGGGGTCCGTTTGACCCCCCTCCCCTATCCTGGCGACCGGTTAAGTGACCTCGAGTGACGCCGCTGCCTTGGGATGGGAAGGTGTTTTGTTTATCATGGACGGATCGGGGGGGGGGGATTTTAGGGCCATCGGCATAAGCAGTAAAAGTTCTCTGACGAAAGGGGGTTGCACCATGCACAGCCGACTTTTGGCTGAATTCTTTCCATGCAGCGCCCGAAAGGGCTATGTTAGAAAAAAAAAACTATGCCAATAAACGCCTCCAGACACTTTCCCGAAACATTAGCCCTTACGTACTACCGTCACAAATAAAAGATTCTGAGACTCGATTGTGTCGCCCCCCCCCCATCGAAATGCTGCGCACATCAGCATTTCGGTGGGGGGGGGGGGGGCACACAAGAGACAGGGGCGCCACCACTGCCTGGCCACCCCAGTCAAATTGTCTTAAAATAGGCCCTGGTTTGGAGACCATTGTTACTAATTTTGGTATTGTTAAGGTAGCTGTAGCATGAGTGGGCATATGCTGTGGAGACTGGAGTGGTTAGTAGGGTGTCTCGAAAAATAAAGTTGACATGCCTATAGTCCAAAACATTTGCAATCGAGTCTGCTGGTTTCGAAAATCGCAATTAACCTTCGCCCCAGTGGGGGGGGGGGGGATATGTTACCACCCTGTCGCGTTTTTTTTGCGTGTGAACAAAAAACCGCGGCGGCGCGCCGCTTGGGGTAGCTTTTGGTACATCAATGTTGGACAATGTGTGAAATTTTTGACCCCAGGTCATGTCAGTTCAGGTCACCAGGTCAAGTTAACTGAACAAGCCTAAAAAAAGTTTACAATCATGTCCAGCCTGCAGTGTTTGTCAGAAAGGTTTTAAACTTGGTGGATTGCATGCTGTTATTGGCGCCTACAATTTGTATATCTCGGATTTTTTATATCCGTGACCTAAGGTCAGGTCAGTGGCGTGACCTTTCCATTACAAGTCAATGGAGAAAAATGATAATGCCTCTAGATCCGTGTGTACGCATCGGAACAGTCCAAATATTTCAGAATCACAATGATTTAGTCCACTCGTGATGACCAAGGTGTCATTTTTGCTGATAGCCTCTAGACAGGTCATCCGAGGTCACTTGAGGCTACAAACAGTTTTTTGCCAATAACTCGCGATTGGAAAGAGATAGAACGCTGGGGATGGTCTAATTGTGTTTGCCTTGTTGAGACGCATCGACTGATATGCAACATGACCTTTTTCGGTAAGGTCATGACCTTGACCTGAGGTCAAATTTTCAAGTTGACCTTTCAAGGTCAGCTTATAGTTCATTCGACGCGTCTCGGCGAGGGGAACACGATTCCGGCAATAGAAATGTCGTGGCTTTTTGTAGTCGAAAGTTATTGTCGAAAAACACTTTTCGTAAAAACAGCTATTTTTGGAGTTTTTGCCCTCTGGAGGCTAAACCGTTGACCTGAGGTCAATATTGATAATGACCTTTTCAAAAGAAGAGTTCAAAAGCTATCGATTGCTCTTCCATGCGTTCTTCTAGCTACCATAGTTCCTGCGATAGCGGCATGTTTTCTGAAAATATAATGACAATTGGCAAATTTTGACCTTTGATGACCTCTGGTGACCCCAATATTGCTCTAAGGTGAAAAATGACCGAAATACTTTCAAACGTACGCCTTGAGAGCTATCGACTGCTTTTTACCGCTTCTTTCTAGCCCTCTTAGTTTTTTAGTTAGAGGTGGGTGGTAACATATGCCCCCCCCCCCCCACTAGGGCGAAGTTGGTTGAGACCGCCACTGGGGCGCGGGTTAAAAAATTATGAGCCATTGTCTTCAACAAGCGCAGTCGCGATTTCCAAAAGCTTGCACCTACTTTTCGGGCGTTGCAGTCTCCATTGGTTTTGCTTGGTGTTGGTGGCAGTAATAATACGGTCGTTTTCACGAAAGTCTCAGGCAGAGTTCGTGGGTGAAGAGTTTAAGGGTAGTTTCAGGTCGGTAGTTATTTGACTTTATTTAGTGTAGACGTTGTCGATACACTTTTTAAAGTCACGCCTGTAATGCGACCTTCGCTTCAGCGCAGCTAAACAAACTCTGGACAAACCACGTCCGGCACCAGCCCATAATCTCAGTCGGAACTCGGACCAGACATGCTAGCGCCACAGACGCCTAGTCGTCACTCGAGCCCCTCAAGCCCAACCGCGGCAGCAGCACAGTGATAACTTTCGTCTGCTCTAACCATAACCATAGTACCCAAGCCACAATTGTGAGCCGTCTCGTGTCCAGAGCCTACTTGCCACTTGGCGAGGACGAGAACGACGCCCGCTGCCGCCTGGAGACTTGGTGAGTTTAACCTCGAGGGGCTGCGCCCGCCAGTGTTGATTGAACTCTCGTGATGGTGTCGACTGTCGATGTATGCATTGGTGGTAAAGTTCCTCATTCATTCTCAGGCCATGGCAAAGCCCGGTCCAAGTACCCGTAACCAGACCGTGGTCCCGGTCCTGAATGTCCACCCAGCAGACCTTCCTCCAGCTCCAATGGTCTCTTACACTGGCGGATCTGCAGGGAGGGGGCATTTAGGGCTATGCCCCCTCAAAGGCCTAAAGTGGCCTGTTTGCCCCCCGCCCCCAACGATAATGAAACATAGTTCAATCAGTGCGTGGCCCAGGAGCCGAGTTAAACAGGGGGTGTTTTACCACCTCCCGGCCCGCAAAGGTTGCGCCAAGCACCGACCCGGAGCGGGTTAACTGGTCGACAAAAGCAATGTGAAGTGTTTACAAACCTGACCAATGGCGGCACGTAGGTACCGGGTGCCATGAATCCCGCCGACGACTGTTCAAGAGGTCTTCAGGCTGCGGAGCTCACCACCGACTGTCGCTGGTTTCGCGGCCCTGAGTTCCTTCTCGAGTCAGAAGAACACTGGCCGGCCTCTCTTCGTGTGCGGCCACCCGACGAAGACGATCCTGAAGTGAAAACGGTGGCGGCTGTGACCGCGCTGTCCACGCCCGTTCTGCAGCCAGACCCCGCACGCTACTCGTCGTGGACGCGTTACAAACGAGTAGTAGGGTGGGCGATGCGCTTTGTCTACAACTTCGCTGCTGCTCACAGGGAGCACTGCTCAGAGTGGTCCCGCTGTCAGCTGCTGAGCTGATTGCTGCTGAGACTCAAATCTTGCTGAAGGTGCAGAGGGAAAGCTTTCCTGATGAGTTGGCCGCCCTCACTCGCAGTCGTCCACTGCCACAACAAAGCTCGCTCCTTCAACTGACTCCTACCGTCGATACAGAAGGGATTCTCCGAGTTGGTGGAAGACTGAAGAGAAGCCAGCTGCCTGTGGCTTCAAGACATCCAATCATCCTTCCGAGGAAGCATGATGTCACCCGACTGATAGTCGTCGCCCAGCACTGTAAGGTTCTCCATGCAGGGACTGAGCATACGCTCAACGAGCTCCGACGGCGCTACTGGATCCCAAGGCACGATCTACCGTTAAGTCGCTGCTTCATTCTTGCTCCGTCTGCAAGAAGCGGCGGGCTCGTCCGCAGGCTCCACTCATGGCTGATCTGCCAGAGGCCCGTTTCGACAGCCGACACGCTTTCAGCTCTGTGGGTCTGGATTTTTGTGGACCCACTTATGTCCGGGTGCGCGGGCACACCGAGAAGCGGTACATCTTACTGGTAACGTGCCTGGCCACCCGAGCGGCTCATCTTGAGCTGACGCCGTCACTCGATACGGACAGCTTTCTCCTCGCTCTACGGCGCTTCATGGCCCGCCGTGGTCGGCCTTCCCGGATCTTCTCAGACAACTGGAGTAGCTTCAAGAAAGGCGAGCGAGAGCTGCGTGAATCGCTAAAAAAATGGAATGCACAACAAATGTGCGATGCGATGTCCCAAGACGACATCGAGTGGCGCTTCAACCCTCCTGATGGGCCACACATGGGCGGCTGCTGGGAGCGCTTGGTGGCCTCCGTGAAGCGGGCTGTTCGCGTGGTTATTGGTCGCGGGTGCGTCTCAGACGAAGTGCTGGCTACGGTCATCGCCGAAGTAGAGTTTATGCTGAATAGCAGACCACTCACCTACGTCAGCACCGATATCGGCGACCCTTTAGCACTGACTCCGAACCATCTCCTCCTCGGCCGCGACGACCCCTGTCTGCCTCCCAGCCTGTTCTCTGATGAGAGTTCCAACCTCAGACGGCGCTGGAAGCAAGCGCAGCAGATAGCTGAACACTTCTGGAGGAGGTGGTCAAAGGAGTACCTTCCCACACTGATGAGACGTGAGAAGTGGATCCGAGACACGCCCCCGTTCGCAGTCGGAGATGTGGTCCTCATCGCTGAGGACTACGCTCCTCGGGGGCGCTGGCCGATCGCCCGTGTCAGCCAGCTGTTTCCGGGACCTGACGGCCGCGTGCGCTCGGTTGAGCTGAAGACAGGATCCGGGACCTGTGTGCGCCCCGTGGTCAAGCTCTGCCGTCTCGAAGAAGCATGCTGAGCTTAGCAAGGATGTCCTGCGCACGGCGCTGTGCAGCGCGGGCGAAGGAGGGGAAACGTTTCGTCTCGCCCGAGGGGGCAGGATGTCGCCGCCATAAACGGCTCCAGCCGAACGGATGCACGAGCCATTCTCGTGAATTTGTGATGATCTACATTTATTCATGAAAAGAATACATTCTGGGTCTCGATGCAAGGACAATCATTTTCTTTCGTATTTCGTACTTTTATGTCTTATTTAATTTCATTTTTCGCGAATATCGTTAATCGCATGTCGGCTTAAAAAAACGACAACAAGTAACAACATAAATATACTTCTTACGCGGCGGCACACCAAATCACGCCGGGACTGTCGCGGATGGGTCCCGACGGGGAGGGGAGGGGAGAACGCCGCCGCCGCCTAGCACCGACCGCAGCGCCAGAGCTGCCGGTTTACCTCTGCAGGGGGCCCACACTCCACATACTCCCCACCAAAAAACGAAGGTTTTTTCTCTTCTTGAACACCAGCATCCGTCGCATGTCACCATGACGACACGCCAGCCGTCGAGTGTCTCCCGGCTCCAAGTCCAGGCTGGTCCACGCCGCGCCGACGCGCGTACGGGTCAGGATCCGGCCGAGTGGCGACCGGGGAGACAGTCCGGAGCGACGGGCTGCAGCATGCGCAGATCGGGTGTCGCAGACAAGTACTGTGTCCGGTCCCGCCCGGTTCGCCAGCCAGTCTCCGGCCTCGTCATCGTTGAGCATAATTGTCTCCATGTTGGCGTGCTAATGATACCTACAAACATGAGTAAATAAACGCACAATGTAACACATCTGGGAACGTTCGATGGTTTGAGGAAAATGGGCAAAGTGGCGACGATGAGTGACTTTTCGCTAATTATGGAAAGATTCTGGGCATTGGGCAAATCAGGAAAATGCAAGTTGACGGGACGTCGGGAAATGACGTAAGTTGTGATGCGTTTGCCACAGGAAACGTTGAACGAAAGCAGGATACTTGAATGATGGATGACTGAGAAAGACACAACAATACAGTAGTTACTTGCGAATCTCAGGATAGTAGGATTGCTTGCTGGAGTCGGAGAACCTCCGCACTCAGGATGGAACCGTGACTTAGAAGTCGAAGAACCTCCACACTCGGACGAAGACTGGGACTAGGGAGTCGGAGAACCTCCGCACTCCGCTGAGCCAGTTTGATGTGCCAATACAGAGCGTTGCGCTGCTTCTTGGGTCTGGGTGGTCCGTTAGATCGCTGCTCCTTTCGAAAGCGCAGGCTATGGATGAGCCGCAGCACCCACGATGTTATGTTGATCGCTTGTTTCCGATGGGAACAGTCTGTCGGAAGGAATGGCCCTCTGGTGTGAGTTGTGCGAGTCGATGGGACCTCCGTACTCGCACAGCTCCGTGACGGTCTCGGTTCGTCATCTGTGAGCACGTCGAGTACTTAACTCTTGGCCTGAAAGAGGCTGGTGTTCTTCAGCTCGCCGGATCTTCTGATTCCTCGATTCTCTGATTTTGACTGCTGGCCATTGTCAGAGGGGGCAGTCTGGCTTCTGTCGCCACCAGCTGAGGCTCCCCACCGTGGGCAGCGTGCACGACGGCACAGCAGGTCTTGCTGGCTGCGTCGCAGAAGACTTGGCAGACCACGTCTTCACCAAGAGGATGGACGGATCTCGGGATCTCAGCTTCTAGTCCTGGTCCGTAGCGCTCTTCCTGCGAGTTTCCCTCAGATTCTCGTTGGAGTTTTTGAGCCTCAGGGTCCGGAGTTTTACCCATGGAATCGAGGTCCCACATCTGTTCCACTTGTTGACAGTGGTATACATGTCGAGTGGACTGTCCTGTTGAAGTGCCCTTCCCGTGGATCACGTAGCCGAAGATCGTATCCAGTGCTCTCAGGGATTCATCTAGAACGACGCAATCCCGCAGCACGACCTTGTAGTACTGGTCTGTCCCTATCAGGATGTCCACCTGGCCACCGCTGAAGTCGTCGGCTAGCTCGATGCTCTCGTCCAGTCCCTCGGGCTGCTCGGCCGGTGGTAGAGGTGCGCACAGGCGGTCACAACACCACAGCTCGAATCTCCTCGCTTCACCTCCGTGTCGGTTTTGTAGGTCGACTGCGACGCGATCGTATGACCGTGGCTCCTCTGCTCTCTCCTGGAAGCCGACGCAAGCGAATGTGTCGGAGCCGATGACATCCAGACTCATCTCTTCGGCGACCGTCTTCCTGATATAAGAAGCGTCGGACCCACCATCCAGCAGGGCTCTCAGTATCTTGGGTCCGCGTGGCCCTCTCCCCACCACCAGCGCAGTCTGAATGTAGCACTGTGATGTAGTACGCTGAGCTGCGTAGCGCATGCTGGGATGTGAGTGTTGGCCGTGTCTGGAAGTGGAAGGTTCTGGTCGTTGGTTGTGGGAGACTGATGGATGCGTGGTAGCTGTTGGGAGGTACCGGCGTGGGAGGTAGTACAGCGGGACTGTAGGGAACAGAGCTGGCAGGAGGAACAGGTGCAGACTCTGGCGCTGGGGCTTGGTGACGATGCAGAGAGGTATGGTGCGAACCCTGACAGTGCCTGCAATTGCCACTCCTACAGTCTTTGATGAAGTGACGTCCGAGACAGCGGAAGCAGGCCCTTACTCTCTTCACCGTCGTCCAGCGGTCCTCGACGGTCATCTCCAGGTACCGTGAACACTTGTCGAGGCGATGGGATCCCTTACACAGAGGGCACGGTTTTTGAGCTGGCGTTGCCTGAACTCGCTGGGTGTTCAGCACACGTGTTGTCGCTTTCTGTACCGTTGGACAGCTGTCATCAGTAGCCTTGCTGCATGGTATTTGAGCGGCCTCTTCGAGATACCCCACTTCCTTCTGTAGAAATGCGAGAAATTCTGCGAACTCTCCTCGTTCTTGGCCCGTGGTCTGTCCCCGCTGCCTCGCCCACTGAAGATGCCAGGGCGATGGAATCTTCCCTTTCAGGACGGGCAGAAGAACATCACCAGTGTGTTCGGCTTGGAGTGTCTTCAAAGAAGCGACTCCGGTCGTCACATCATCCACCAGACGTCTCAGTGACTTCAGATTGTCGGTGCTTGCCACCGTCGGCAGGCTGAGCAGCTTGGCGATGATGGTGTCCTTCCTCAGGCTGTCCTTTCCAAACCTCTCCTTTAGTTTTTGAACAGCGATCTCATAGCTGTCTGCTGTCAACTGCAAACCTTGAATTGACCGCGCTGCAGCTCTATCGACAATCGACATGCTGTCTCAGGTAGTATAGCTTCTGCACTGGGGAGTAGGCACTGTTTTGGTGTACTGACGCTTCGTACAGTTCCCAAAACTCTTGCCAGGCCATGAGGTCTCCATTGAACTTTGGAAGCGTGAAATTCAGTTTGAAATGGTTCTGAGGAGTTACGACCTGTGTCACAACAGGTGCGGTCTCGTTCCTCTTATTTGCGTCTGCGAGAAGACGCTTACCCAGGCCGACTGCTCTGTGAAGGTCCGCGTAGTGAGGGGATTTATCCTCTAACCCCAGCTCACTCAGCTGCGAGTTCAGCTCGTCCATCTGCGAAAGATGGCCCTCAGCGAGTTCTATCGTGTAGTCCAACTCATGTCTGTCTGCATTCTGATTGCCTTGATCTACCTGAGTGTAGAGGCGCTTTAGATCATTCGACAATTTTGTAGCTTTGCTTCGGTCTTTGGTGCGTTTCGCTTTCAGCGACTCAATGTCTGTGTTGGTGTCTGGCTTGCCCATCTCTTCCTATATGCTGGTGATTGATCACTATAAGCAAACCTGGTGGAAATGCTCCCGGTGATCCGGCCCGGAGGACTATGTCGTGGCCGCTACCCCGTATTGATGTTGAAAGGTCGCCCTGCACGTCGAAACTTGGAGCGGCCCTGCCGCTGTCCACAGAGAGTGGCCCGAGTTGGCACCCTACTGTGGCGGGGGACGTGCAGTCGAAGTGGGTGTGGAGAGCTTTAAGTGGACTGTATCATTTGAGAGAATGGACTAGCCGACTGATCAACGCGACCGCCAGGTCAAAGCTGTACTTGGCACGTCTTAAATGTATTGTCAAAGCCTTGTCGGAGAAACCTCCGCACAAGTCTTACTCATGCGTGCCGAAAATCAAGACAAATCAAGAACAAGACATGAGCTGGTTAGACACTTGCCAGCAAAGACAGACACGAATCCAAGAACGAGTCAGACGCATCGAGCCGTCGAACATGAGCGCATCCCGCTGATGTGTGCCATTGTGCTGTCGTGTGTTAACCCTGAGGTGAAACGGCGCTATGAGCCATTCTTATAAAGAAAAAGGACGGAGGGACGGAAAGAAAAAAAAAAGAACTCAATGAATTAAACGATTCCGTCCTTATTGGTTATCATAAAGGTTCCGTCCCTCTACCCCTCCCCTTCGTTGTTTTACTAGGATGCGTTTTTCGTCTAAATGATCAAGAGTTTTAGTAAATGAAACAGGAATTATTTCCTGCAATATTTTCTTATAAATTTCGTCACAAAGAATGCAATAAGACTAAGAAAATACTGTGTGATTGCTATATAGGTATAATAAAATGAGAACCTGCAATTATTTGGGATAATATTTGAATTTTTATGGGACCGGGGGCTGTTGTCTGCTACGATACATAGCCTTGGCGGCCTTGGCTACGATCAAGGATAATATAGATAGGCGAAGTATGTAATATGTTGTAGTCTTTCCTGCTAGGCTGAAACCAACCAAAGATTGTTTTTGCGTATAAATGTGGTAATGCCTATGTCTTACTCAGTGATAGGGTGTCTAATAAGCGGTAAGGGAACAACGCAGACACCCTGAGTTAGCGTGGCGGCTCGGGACAGGCGGTAGAGATAAAAAAGGAGGGGATACTGGTAAGGCATCTTATCGCTCTAGCGGGACGACGCGGCGCGCGGCGAACGCGCGCGGCGGCTCGGGATGAAAGGGAGGGAGAGAGGGAAGGAGTAGGTAGAGAGAGAGAGAGAGAGAGAGAGAGAGAGAGAGAGAGAGAGAGAG